TATGTACTAGTACTTACTTATTAGACACTAGTATCTTTTGTAATTACTACTTTTTTTAAAATAATAATGCACTTTAATATGTATGCATGTATAATACAAAATATATAATTAATTTTAATTGATTCTAATGTATCTACTTTGGTTTAATTACAAGGATTGCACATTAAAAAACACAAAGTTTACCATTAAATTCAATTCAATTCAAGTTTATTTGTACAGTGCTTTTCACGATACAATGCATTTGCAATTGGTTTGCAAAAGGTGTCATTATATGTCTTTTGGGTAGAACAAGATCAATAACCAGATGATCTTAAGTTAATGAAACTTCCACATTACAAGAGCTTTCTGCTAGCTGTGCTGTGTTGTATTAGCTATACTGCAGTTGTGGCCTAATGGTTAGAGAGTCAGCCTTGTAACCCAAAGGTTGTGGGTTTGAGTCTCAGGTCTAGCAGGAATTGTTGGAATAACCAGCGCTCTCTTCCACTCTCAACACCACGACTGAGGTGAGACCCTTGAGCAAGGCACTGAACCCCCAACCGCTCCCTGGGTGCCGCAGCAATATGGCTGCCCACTGCTCCAGGTGTGTATTCACTACTGTGTGTGCACTTGAATGGGTTAAATACAGAGCACAAATTCTGAGTATGGGTCGCCACACTTCACTTTCACTTTTTTAGAGTTACACTAACAATAGTGCATTAGTATTATTAATAACAGTAATACTAGCAATGTAGTCCACAGAAGTAGATTTTTGCACATTTTATCACACTATAGTGAATAAAACATACAGACTGAATTACGAAACACTAAACGGGTTTGAGCATTCGTTGCTTTCCTGTCAAAAAGCACAACCAGACAAAGCATTCCTTAGCCTGTGTTTGTCAGGTTTTCAGGAAGAATGGACCCAAGCGCAGTTGAATGCTTAACTCCACGGAGAGAAACGAGGGGAGAGTCAGGGAGGCAAGAGGGTCATACCAGGGAGTAAACAATGTCAATGAGACAGATCAGGAACAAGGTCAAAGGAAAGCAGTGATTGGAAGCAGAATGGCTGTCCAGTAAAGCAAATGCCAGAAGATAATCTGAGGGGCCAGAACCCAAAGACAATTGCGAGAGTCAGCACCAGAGTGGGCAGTCTACTGACCAGTGTGTTCTGGTGAGAGAGGGAACCACAGCACTAACTGGGCGAAAGAGAGCAGCATGAGCAAAATAATAACTAGACTGACAAACAAGATAATTTTAACATTTAAACTGACCACTTTACCAGCGGATATTAACGGCAACACCCACAAAACTTTGGCAAATGGCTGCCACTGACCGCTCACACCTGGGTGGGGCAACAGTTTGGAAGTGTGACACCACTGCAAGACGGCAAGGTGAACTGGCCAAGGAAATAAAGCAAGCCCACCGGGCACCCCCAGGCACCCCGACTCCAGCCAGAGTTCACCTGACATGACCCTCAATGTCCCAGGTTACAGCCCCCACCACATGGGCTGAGGCCAAGATGGCGCATTATCTGGGACACAGAACTGCCACGACATCTCACCTTTGAGGTCCTCAGTGGGCCCATCCAGAAGTGTGCCACCAGTGCCGCCAGGTTCCAGCCGAGAGTCAGGCCAGAGAGACGGTCCAGCAAACAGTGCCAGAGGATAATCCGAGAGCCAGAACCTAAATACCATAATGAAATTCAGCACTGGGGTGGGCAGTCCATTGACGGTGTGTTCCGGCAAGAATGAAAATCACAACACTAACTGAGCAAAGGAGAGACATGTGAGCAAAATAATAACTAGACTGACAGATGAGACTGGAAAACTAGACAAGACTGAGAAGTTAGACTGAGATAAGGGCTTGTGTGAGTTGTGAGATGCACAAAACACACTGGCAAGGAAACAGAGCAGAAGGAATAGAATATAAAGTGGAGAAACACTTTTGAGATTCGCGATCACAAGGACTCTATACTATGGAGCGGCAGTACTTACCACATATTTGACAAGATTAGATGTTTGTCATTGGTGCTCAGGATCTGCCAATCATTCACCGTCATCCTATCAGACATTTCTCCTTACTCTGTGTATGTGGTAAGTGAACTTTCATGTACTGTAATGCTAGGCTACCTAGCAAGCGGCTAACCTTTTAGTGGCTCCATATAACACGTTATTTGTTTCACGCTTCGTTCACACCCCTAACCCCGCCCCCCGATGTCATCGTCCATCACGATGTTTCACTTGTAGACATCGTCCGATGCCAATTTGGTAGACATCGCTCAACCCTACTGCTTTCCATCTGCTGGACCTACATGAGTGGCCTTTCCATCCCTCCACTCAGGCCTTAGCGTCTTGTGGGGCCGCCAAGTCCTTGACTTAAAGCAGCAATATTTGCATCTGGCAGTATTGCTTGCTTGGAGATTAATAGTTATTTGTATATCATTATTATATTTATTTATTTTAAAGAGTCTCATAAATTGAGGCTCTGAAGATCACCTTTGAACCCGTTATGGCCCCACAGCTTCCTTTAATGAACTCAGGCCAAACATCTACTGTTATCTGCCATCTCTCACACTTTAAAAAGAATACAATTAATAAATATCAGAGATATTTAAAAAACTGTATATCACACTCTGTTAATGTGTTCACCAGAAATTTCCCAAATCTGGCATGTTTTCTCAAACTGTCCTGTTGTTTGTGTGTACCAAGTTTTGTGATTTGGACATTGCATTCACAAAAATATCGACCAATTAGTGATTTTTTTTTCTTTTCAGTTTGACACTATGTACAAACATGTCAAGGGCATCTCATTAATAACCATGTGATTTTAAAGAGAAGGAACATTTAAACTGGGAATGATTCCTATGAATGGATCCCCAGCTGCAACCAGTAATGTATGGCATGGTTGTGACTGGATTAGAAGCCTGTTTTTGCTCATTCCAGACAGATTGTAAAGTCTGTTAGTGGTGAGGATTTTTAGTCACTCTTTCTGCAGGTTACATTGATACACCAGTAGGTGGCAACAAGTGACTGTCTTTATGAGTGAGTCACTGAATCATTCACTCAATAGATTCATTCAAAAAGACTGATTCATTCAGGAAAGATTCTGTTTCAAAAAGATTTGTTCCTCCCATTCCATCACCACTAAAAATGTACTGATATAAACCCAAAACTGAGTGCCAGTGCTATATCGGTTTATCTTTCTTAAGTGATTTCGACAGTCACATGGTAATAAAGATTAAAAGTTTTACATCACAACAGCAACTTAATATAAGACAGCACTTAAATGTTTGAATACTTTTATTTCAGAAGTTTCATACATGTACTCACTGTGAGCATTCAGAGCAAACATTTACAGCACTATATGAAATTCTGTTTAATGCTCAGTTATTAACATTTATAGGGTTCTGAAATTATACATCTCTTTTTTTTAGTCTCAAAGCAGTAAAAACATAAGCAAACTGCCCATTTCTGACAGCCAATCTTCACAAATGTACATCGTTTTATTTTAGAAAATAACCAAAAGCAACATAAAAGGGGAAATATTATTAAATATTTCCCTATTATTAAATGTACAATGAATTGAATGTACATCTTTCAAGGGGATGAAATGAATAAACCATAATCTAACCACTTACAGACACGATGAAATGAAACACAAACAGAAGAAAATGTATACTCAGGGCTACCAATGAGAGACTGAAAGGCTTAGTGGTCATAGTGGTTATATATATCAACCAATCTTTCTAAGAGACTGGCTAACTTAAAATTAGTCTATTTAAAAAAATATTATACACATTTTTGGTCATGTAATGAATAACTGAGGCTGAAAAGCTATACCTTAAAAGACCAAGAAATGATCTGAAAGGTATTAAGCATCCACGTCATTTATGTTTGATGGATGTTTAAATGTTCTCATCAATAAAAGAAAATAATACATCACTAGGTGAACTAGATGAATTTAGATCAACTGCATGTGAAAGAACTTTAACATATTTATTTTTAAGTTCAGTGCAATTCATATAGGATATGCATGGGGTTAGACTAACCATTTCAAGTGACAACCATGAGGACAATCTTGTTCATGAAGATTGCAAAGTGCTGGTTTGTCCATTTTTGCTGAATGGTAAACAAGATTAACAAGATTAACGAATGGTTAACATGAATGCGAAAAAAGCACCAACACAGGCTACTGAAGCCAAAACATATACATGAAATGCAGTATTGTTTTCATCGCTGCATGGATTCTTTTGAAAAATCAAGGTGTATTATTCCGTGCCATCCACTGGGAGTCTGGGATGCACTCTCTGAGGTAGCCGTGAATATGACCAACAACTTAAAGAAAAAGTTTTAACACAAAAACACAACATAGCACCGTTGTTGATAAACAGATAAAGAGTAAAATCTCTTTCTCCACTTCTTTTCATTCGAACACTGATATTTACCGTGGGCTCACCTTAGCCCTTCAAATGACCACTGTTGGGCATCAAGGCCAAGAAATCAAATCAGTCAGTTCATGTTTGTTTCCTTTATCCTCCTCTGCTCGGCTCATCCACTCTTCTTCCAATTGTTTCGATTAAGTCTCCTGCAGGGCATCTACACAAGCTACAAGATCTTCATGCAGACTTGACAGCGACTGATGCGTGACCGGTACTCAACTCCCTTCAGTGTCTCCTGGGAAGGACCCTGGACGAACTGTTCGTTCTGCTCTACTGTGGTCAACCAGAAACTGTACTTGTTGGCAAAGTAGTGGCAGGTACCGTCGGCACCGTTGCACTCAATGAAGGGGGTGGCGCGGAAATCCTCCAGACAAGAACCGGGAGACACCAATGACTGACCGCCTCCTTCTGCACCTGCGGCTGTGTGCTGAAGGACAAACATAAATGTTATAAAGTTATACAGTATGTAGGTAGGTTTGACATTGCCAAAATAAAACGTCCTTTACTGCATCTTTGAGGAGACTAGAAAGTAAGATTTTCCCAAAATATCGAAATCATTCTAAATTTATGAACATTTAAAAATATTCATTTATAGTAAATAGCTTACATACATATAAAATTTCATTTATAAACTGTCAACATATCTTTTATTGTATTAACTGTTAAGCGTTTGAACATTATTTTATACAGATGAGTGAACATGGACTACATTAGCTCACATTCGAAGGCTGCATACGTCATCGAGGCCGTCTCATTTCAGAAAAGAAGTAGGACACTCCGAATGCGACCTTCTTTCACAGGAATTCGGAGGATGCATGAAGTGTATCCTTCGCTGCTACAGATAACTCACAATTCTTTGCGTCGCCGTAAACAACCGTCGTTTATTTGAAAAAAAAATGGCGGTGCCGGCAGATGTAACGTTACACACAAGCGAAGATGTGGTGTTTAAATGTAAGTATTTTCAAGTTTTTCTTTTAAGTTGTATTACCTCAGTTGGTAGATGTGGTAAACAGTATTACAAGTGTTTAGTGATTTTTAAATGTTGAGAATAGTACTTTCCTAGCAAGGCGAGAAATTATTAAAGGGGTCAATATGATGCTATTTTAAAGATCTTTATTTTGTGTATTTGGTGTAACAGAATATGTTGACATGCTTTAATGTTCAAAAAACACATTATTTTTCAAATACTGTACATTATTGTAGGTCCTCTATGCCCCGCCTCTCTCAAAAGACGTCGTTTTCAACAAAGCCCCCTCCTTTGACAAGCGCAGTCTGCTCTGATTGGCCAACTGACCCAGTGCATTGTGATTGGCCAAACACCACAAGCATACGTCGGAAATGTAACGCCCCTTACCATAATCACCAGCTTCATCTTTCAAAATAAATGTAAAGACAGTGCTCGAACTGATTTGCTGAAATCAAAACAGGGACGGTAATAGATGAGCGCCAGCCAACGAGAGCTGTTCGCGCATTAGCTCCGCCCACTGCCGAGAAACCGGCATATCTTCTGCTTGTTCTTAAAAGCTGAATAATTCTAAATGAACTCGGTTACTTATTTTGACAGGAAAATACAACAAAGAAAATGTTTTACATGTAGCGCGTCGATTCAGCGTGGTATGCAAGACTCTCGCTCTTTATCTTTGCATGTGTGAGAAACACAGCGCTATTAGTAAAGAGACGGCTAGTCGTGCGCCTTCACACTAGTTTACGGTACGTCAAATACAGGTGCGCTGCGTGCTACATACTGCGCATCCATTGAGTACATGACATGATCCATTGAGCGCATCCAAATAGTACAGATCGCTTGACGGAGAGCGAAACTCTCAAGCGCTCAGTCAGCGTGTTTATCGAGTGAAAATCTGCGTTGAACGCCTCTCACACATATACTGGCGTGTAAAATCTAAGAATTTATTAGCCAATGGCTAATGTTAGACATTTAGTTAGAGGGTTGGAAAGGAAAACTTGAAATCGCATCATATGACCCCTTTAATTTGTTTAACCCTCTGGTATTGTAAATTTAACTAGCATGAGAGCACAACGATGCTATAAATGTGTTGGCATAGCAACGTGATATATCCTTTTTCCTTTTCCGCCTATCCTACGAAGGCCGTCTCGTTTAATTCTAGGTTGAGGATACTCCGTATACGTATCCTTCAGAGGATGTGACCTCCAGAGGACGCAGCCTTCTAAATGAGACACAGCTATAGTAAGCTCAGTTGATCTGAATCTGCAGTGATGTGTGATTGTGCATGTGCATTCAGGTATAACTCAATTGTACCATAAGGAAGGAGTAACCAATCCACAGACTTCTCCAACCCTGAGGGCAGATCGGTATGCTGAGATCCTGGCTATGGATAGCAATTGCTTGAGATGGAGCCTCACACACTGAGCAGCGGCTAATGTATTGAGATATCTGCTGTTCTGCCACAGGCATCATGGGAATGGGTGCTGTGGTGGACAGCCAATAGGATTTGTCATTGCGACTAGCGTAGTAGCAGATGTCATTGACTGTGCAGTACAGGAAGGGGATGGTGCTGAAATGCGGCAGGCAGGAGCCGGGCAATCCTGTGAGGACAAGAACATTTGAATTCAACTTTCACAACATTATCTTGAGGCAAGTCAGCTTATCAGTATATACAAGTGAACTTGTGTATATTACACAGTCCACAATAAACTGATCCACAACGATTAATATTCCAAATCAGAATGATCAAAATTGATGAAAATTTGTAAACAACTGAAAGCCCTTATAATAACAACTGTAGTGTCTCACCCAGGTCCTGGTTGTGTGCTTTCTCCTGCCCCTCCACATAGAGCAAACTGTATCCCTCCCACAGCTTGGACATGCCTTGAGGACACATGGGCACCTGGCTGGACTGACTGTGTTTCACCAAAGTATAACCAATACTGGTACTGCGCACCGGTGGACCAGGAAGACCTTGCATTCCTGGTGAGCCACGGGTTCCTGTAGAAGATATGTCAAAGTGGAAGAATTTGAAAGGCTGTTACAGAAGGGAGGAGAGGAAATGGGTGAAAGATGTAACCCAGAAAACTGTAGTGAAATCTATTGTTACCGTACGCACTTAAAAATATGCTGTTAATGAAATTTCTACCTTATAAACAGTGTTGGGGAGTAACTAGTTACATGTAACTGAATTACGTAATTTAATTACAAAATAAATGTAACTGCAATCTGTTACAGTTAAGGTCCTTGCACACTGAGTCCGAAATTTTCGTATTCGTTTTTTCGTATTCGTCATCCTAAAAATTCGTCACGCACAGAAGCCTTGCACACTGAGTCTGATGTGAATTAATTAATCTGTTGCGAAAAAATTTGCAACACAATACAAAATGGAGTCTTCAAACAGTGAGGATGATTTTGTTGTCCTCTCTCTTCTTAAAAAGAGAAAAAGAAACAGGAAATATTGGATCCATCATCCAATCGAAGGAGAGTGCCACCTCCTTATCAAGGAGCTGCGGGATTATCCCTGGCGATTCAAAGTTTACTTCAGGATGTCAGTGGCTCAGTTTGATGCTTTGCTAGCAATACTAGAGCCACATATCAAAAAGAAGACCACCAATTTCCGTGAACTCGGTGTGCAAGGACCTATACAGTGCTTTGTGTAGTGAGAAGAAGTGGATCAACTCGTCAGACGCCATTCTGGATTTTGGCGTTCGCTTGTACAGTGGCTCTGAATTGTCAAACCACTTCTCAAAATGCTTGCTACGGATGCGAAAAACGCAGAAAATCGAACCCGATCCGAATTTTTTTATGACGGACGAAAGTTTTGGAGGCAGTGTGTAAACGTGATTGACACAACGTGAGATCGTATTTATTTTTTAACGTGCGAAAATTTCGGACTCGGTGTGCAAGGGCCTTTACTGAGAAAAAATGAGTAATTGAATTACAGTTACTTATGAAAATGTTAACGATTACAAAGGGGGTTACATCTGAAACATCTGAATATTTTCACACACATACAGATTTGATTGATTTCTTTCCCAAATTGCATTGACTGCTTTAAAATGAGACACCAATGTTTCAGGAGTTTAGGACACATGCTAATTCAATAACTGTTTTATTTCCTATTTGGGTTTATGTATATGCTTTATTTTTTTTAAGATTAACTTTTTTCCAAGGCATTGTTAGATGCCTGTGTTTCCTCTCGTAGCTATGCAAGGATTTGATTTCAAAAACAGTATCATAACTATTAAACTATTTCTTATGATTTTAAATCAGTATTTAACCTCAGAACAATCTCAAAGTAAAAAGAGTTGCTAAAATCTGATTTTGAGGTGGCTGTGCTTTAAAATTAAATTAATATAATCTAAATTCAAGTGATGAAGGATTTTGAAAGTCTGACAGTAATCAGTGTTGAGTCCCACTGTAAGATTAACCCTGCCTTTAAATGTTTCAAAATGATTAACAGTTGAAAACATTCGATAGAAATTTAGAAAAGTAATCAAAAAGTAATGAAATGTAATCAGTTGCATTACTTTAATAAAGCAATTAAAATATTTACACTACTTATTACATTTTAAATAGGGTAACTTGTAATCTGTAACCTATTACATTCCCAAAGTAACCTTCCCAACACTGCTTATAAATATTCAGGTAATGAAATGTCTACCTAATCTGACCACTAAAATGACTTCTGTGGGTGTATCCTATGTGATTACAGCGATTGACTCATATTAAATAATATGATTTGATAGAAAATAATCAAAATAATTTAGCTGTTACCACATAAAGCACATGAGTGCAGAATAACCGATCAAAAGTAATACACTAGATTAATGTTTCTCATCTGGTTTTGCTTCAGAATCCAAATTTTAAACTAGAAATCAAGTGGCACAAGACAAGGTCAAAAATGTCTATAGCACAAAAATGTTTATTACAAAAAAAGCTTATTGCAAAAAATGTAAATATATTGCAAAAATTCAAACATTTGGGGTATGTTTTTTTTTAAGTCTCTAATGCTCACCAAGGCTGCATTTATTTGATCAAAAATACAATAAAAAATGGTCATATGAAATTATTAAAATCAGTACAAATGTCGAGTTGGTGCTCAAGAAACATTTATCATTATTATGCTGAAAACAGTTGCTGCTTAATATTTTTCTGGAACCCATGATGCATTTGTTTCAGGATACTTTGATGAATAGAAAGTAAAAAAAAACAACAACAGCATTTATTTGAAATATAAATCTTCTGTTTTATTATAAATGTCTTTATCACTTTTAATCAATTTAATGCATCCTTGCTGAATAAAAGTTTCTTTCTAATAATTTCTGAATAAATAATAATTTTAATGAAGTTTGATGGCTCACACAGCTTTTTATATGGTTAGTATTTTTTTTGTATTATTTAAATATATATATATATATATATATATATATATATACGGTATATATATATATATACAGTCGTGGTCAGAATTATTGGCACCCTTGGTAAATATGATCAAAACAGTGAGTGTGCAGTGACCTCACATTGTGACCACAGTATGAGCGCACAGTGAGTGTGCAGTGACCTCATATTGGGAGCATAGTATGAGCACACAGTGAGTGCGCTGTGTGGTTACACTTTTAGCTCACTGTGACACACACATTGTGACCACACCATGAGAATCATGTGAGCTCATGGTGACATCATTGTGAGATCAAATTGTTGACTGGGAATTGAGCTTCACAAATTAGAAAGTGACTTTAAAAGAGCTAGAGCAGTGAAAATTCCCATTTCCACCATCAGTGCAATAATTACGAATTTCCAATCAACAGAATATGTTACAAATCTGCCTCGTCCTAATGCACGGTGAGGAGGAGAGTTTGAGTGGCTAAAGACCAGGTGCGCATGCGCGACCAAAATAACAAATGCACTGTGTAAATAAATTCTGACAGCGCATATGCGTACCGACATGGTTGACAGCTGTTAATGACCAATTACCATTTTAGATCGACAAACTGTAATACTGTATAAGATTTCTATTCAAACTGAATAGATAAATAAATCTAGGCTACCCGCTGCCGTTTTCAAAGCACAATGCAAAACTGACATTTCATTCACTGATGCGCATCAGTCGGCAACGCTAAACCTGGAAGTGGATAAACTTACTTTACTTAAAAAGAAGTAAATATTAGCATTTTATTTTTAAGTTTACTATAAAATAGTTGTATTTAATACTCCTTTTTTATTTGAAAATATAATAGTATTATCACACTTTATTATTTAATTATTTTATTTAAAAAAACGAAATAAATGAAGTGCAACAATATTATCACTATGAAATTTTTTTTTTATAGTTGTATTTAATGGGTTACACTATGTGCAGTGTGAGGACCAAACCAAATCTCCAGGTGCTCTTATAAGAACCAGGCTGAAAAACTTAAGTGCACCCATATATATAAAACCACCATTTGAGAACTACTGCTCCAAAAATAAAGGATGTAAAAGGTAGCAGGACACTCTTTGTACCTTGGGTTCCTGTGGGTCCTTGGATTCCTGGAGGTCCGGGGTCACCAAAAGTTCCAGGAGATCCAGCTGCACCAACAGGACCAAGTCTACCCACTGGCCCTCTGAGTCCTTTGGGACCTAGAGAAATTTCAGAGGAATTGAAATTGGAGTTAAAAGATAAATAATTGATCAGACTTTCAGTTTCATATTTCTTACTTTTTTCTTACCTTCTGCAAAGACAATAAAAAAAAACACTCACCTGGGCCTCCTGGACTGCCTGGCAGGCCTGGAATTCCTGCCTGACCAAAAGACCCATCAAGACCTGGTGGGCCCCGTTCCCCAAACGGCATACTGCTGGTTATGTTACGTGGGAACACAACACCTGGAAGTCCCTTAAGACCGGGAAAACCTGAGAGGACAATAAGCAAAAGCTGATATTTCAAGAATGCTCGTGATTTATTACTGTTAGCTAAATTTTTAAACATACAAAATGCCTACTGACCCTTTAATCCTTTGGGTCCATTCCTGCCAAAATCTCCTGGTTCTCCAGGTAACCCTGGTGGTCCACGTACACCACTAAATCCAGGGTCACCTCTTTGTCCTTGTAAATCCAGAGAGCACAAAAAGGAATAAACTCCAAAGAATAAACTATTGAAGCACAGTTAAAGAGACAGAAAAATATTAAAGCAATAGAAAAAAAACACCTTTAAAACCAGGACTGCCTTGTAATCCAGGGGCTCCAAAACCACCGGGGTCTCCACGTGGTCCTGGTATTCCTGGTCGCCCAGGAAGTCCAGCATCTCCCCTGTCTCCTTGGACTGTTCCAGGGCCTGGTGGACCAGGTAGGCCAGGAGGGCCAAAGGGACCTACAAATGATCCAGTTCAACTGATTTCACTGTATCACAAGAACTATGAGCAACTGCTATTACAAAAGGTGAAGTTCACGCTCAAAGAGAAACAGATCTACAAGGAATGATCATTGCTAGCCCTCTACATCAAGCATCTTTTTGTTATATTAGAAAGGATCAGTTCTATCTTAGAGAAGCAATAAAAGTAATGATAAGAGAGATGTCCTGTACCTTCTCGTCCATCTAATCCTGGAAGTCCAGGGTCTCCGGGAGGACCTGGGATATTAGAAGGTCTAGGCGGGCCAGGGGGGCCTGGATTACCAGGGAAGCCTCTCAAACCAGTGGCACCTGATAACATTAAAAACATGTATGAAAATAAAAGAGAAACAAAGCTGGTCAGAGAAGCAATGACCCCATAATTGCTTGTTTTTTTTGGTGTGATTCCCACTCTAATCTTTAAAGAGTGGTCCATACACAGAATTCTCCTCACCAGGGTCTCCTCTGGATCCTTTTTCTCCAGGGCGCCCAAGTGCTCCGGGCTGTGATGTGCCTCTCTCTCCCTTCAGGCCATTCCCACCAGGAGCTCCAGGCCGAACACCTTCAGTCACACCTGAGGACATAAGTTAAATAAATGAGCAGTCACTAGTTTGCACATGTTTAAAGCATAAGGTAGAACCTTATAATCAAAGGTTCATCTAAATAATGTACCTGGAACTCCAGACAGCCCCTTGGATCCTGGAAGACCATTGAGTCCATCTAAACCAGGTGATCCCGGAAAACCTGAAGTAAGATTTAAGGCAGGGTATTTCAGAAATGGCAACATGCTGGTTTCTACTGGTTTGTAGAAAGATGAACGACTACAGGTGCAAAACATGTTTTTAGTAATATCTAACAGTAAACTGGTACAAGTTCTTGTTTCACCTTTCTCTCCTGATGAACCTGGAGTTCCAGGACGGCCTGGATCTCCATCACGCCCCTTCTGTCCTGAATAACCAGGGAGACCCCTAATGCCTGGGAGGCCTGGTGAGCCTATAAACAAATACAACAATAAAATGAAATTGACATTAGGAAAGAAGAGAGCTGCTATTGTAAAATCTGAAATAATTTCAATAGAATCATAAGGGTGGCTCCAAACTTCCACATACCACCAAATCCTGGTCCTCCCGGCTCTCCAGGAAAACCTTTCTGGCCTTGGAATCCGAAGACTCCTGGGAACCCTGGATCACCTGGTTCACCAGGAAGTCCTGGACCACCTAGTTATGAAAGACAAAAGACAAAAATCTATTTAGAAAATCATACTGGAATATACATTACAAAATGAAATACAGTACAAAAAATAGAAGAGTTTATAAGACATACACATACTAAGAGCCTGAAAAAGTGTCTTTCTCACCTGGGAATCCAGGATTTCCAATCACGCCCTTTTGTCCAGGGGGTCCAGATAATTCATATGAATCACCTTTCTCACCTTAAAGACAATGTTTAGGGACATCACCCTACTATTCAACTACTTGCATTTGCCATACGTTGTGTAGGTCAGAAATAAGGAACATAATTATTATTATTATACTTGGCATTGACAGAATCACAGAGATCTCACCTTTGCCACCAGGCTGTCCTGGAGTGCCTGGGAACCCTTGAACCCCAGGTACACCATCATCACCCTGCAGTGGAGGACAACACAAAAAGTAAAATACAATGTATCTTTCTGTGTATAAAACATTTTGACAAGTACAAGTATGAGACTCTGAGACCATATTAGACCCGGTGCCAATAACAGTATTAGTACTGCTAGTGCATAGTCAACTTTTTTACATAATTATACTTGTGGCCTGAATACAGGATGCTTACCCTCAGGCCTGGTAAGCCAGGGAAGCCCATAACTCCAGATGAACCTTTGGGTCCAGGAAAGCCAAAGGAGCCAGGAATACCTGGGAGTCCAGGCTGGCCAGGAAAACCTTTTGCTTGGTCTGCAACACCAGGTGATCCAGGAAAGCCTTCACGTCCAGGTAGCCCTGGAAAACCCTTATCACCTGTTAAAAAGAGAAAAAAACATTTTGTTTTTATTTCATTTTGATTTTAATGACTGAATGACTGGTCTTTAGTGTCATTACAATCTCACACTTTTATCACAAGCTGAAAAAATAACTTTGCTTGTCATTAAAGATTCCATTGAATGACTCTACATAACAGCTCAACATCACAGGTCCATGAACACCTCTATGCCACTAAACAGCATGAATTCATCATTAGAAATGAAGGAACTGAGGTCTAATTGGATGGTCTGTCCACTTTTTTGTACCTCTTTGTCCTGGGAAACCAGGCAGTCCACCACCTCCTGGGTCACCTTTTTCACCCTTTTCCAGCTGCTCTACTGGAAACAATGGAGAAGAGGGTCCTGGAAGACCAGGAGCACCACGTTCCCCTTTAAAACACAAACATATATCCATTAAATTATGCACTATATTACTGCAGTGCATTTTAAAATGTAATTACAATAAACTATTTTATATCTTGCTTCTTTCTGAAGTTCTAAATTCTTTTTTGAGTGCCTTCTATGGTTTCACTTAACTACAAAAAAAAAAAATCCAACAATGAAATGTCCTGCAAATGCCATCAATATACCTTTGGTTCCTCTTGATCCAGTTCCCCCAGGTAAGCCATCCTGCCCAGCGAAACCAGGTAAACCTTTAACACCTGGGCCACCTGGGACTCCAGGAGAACCAGGTAATCCTGGGAACCCCAACAATCCAAGAGACCCCTTCTCCCCTTGGACACAGACAACAAAATATCTACATTATGATAATTAAAAGTAAAATGTGCTCATTAGACTATTTTATGCTATTTGAAACAATCTCCGAGATGCTTGTTTGATGTCTTTGTAATAAAGCACAGCATAACAAATTTAAATAGTGTGGTTTTAGAGATAGTAGAAGCATGTTAAAATGACTCCAGAAATGAATCTAAAGTAGTTTCTATCAGTAATACAACTCAAGAAAGTCAAATCAATTTAAAATAAGCTCTTTCTGCAATATCATACCTTTTATTCCTGGTCTTCCAGGTATGCCTGGACGTGTTCCAATGCCAGGCGGTCCAGGAGGTCCCCTAAATCCCTGTGACCCTGGGATGCCGGGAAGTCCTGGTATACCCTTTATTCCACCAGGCCCTGGAGGTCCTGGATCTCCTCTCACACCCTTCAGCCCTGGAAAACCTGTGGAGGAAAAAAATTGTTAAAACATAATATAAGGATTGGCTCTGAAAGTGCCTAGAAATTACTTGGATTTCACTGAAATAAATTCCATTAAGATTTTTTATATGAGATAGTACATAAGCTCACAATACTGAACATGTGAACACACTTACCCACTAAAGAAATACTTTAAAAACAGTATGCAGTGCTTTGAACAAAGGTAATTTAAGAAAAAACTAAACAAAACAAATGTTATTGAATGCAACGCTGTTCATTAACAAATTACTAAAATATGTAGTAAACGTTCTGGATGAACAACATATTTCACAATTTGTGGTAATGTCAGTTCAAAGTAAAGGCTAAATCTAGACTGAATGTACAAGCAGTTGGAACATGAAATATTACTTTCATGACTAACTAAAGTTGACATTACCAACTAAAGATGCTGCTGTTTTACCAGGAGGTGGGTTTGTTGTTAAAGGCACACAAGCACATCAGGGTTAGAGCAAGTTCTGAGGCTAGATTGTTAGATTAGAAGCTAGATTGCTCAAATCCATTGAACCTGAGGATTAGTACTTAAGCACACAAGTTTAGGTCATCTTTTACGTGAGTGTTCTATGTGCTGCCTGCTTCATGGTACACAAACACATAAAAAGATGGAGAAATACAGTTTAAACCACTCCAGTGATAAAAGACCATGGATGAACTCTTTTCAAAATATGGTCAATCCAAGAAATTACAAATGAACATTTTGCAAATTCAAATAAACATGAATTCTGCATTGTCAACATGAACAAATCACTCTATTAGTTTGAAATAGATGCCTAAAAGGGAGAGTACACCCAAAAAATGAAAATTCTGTCATCATTTACCTTCATAAGACTCTTTTCATCTTTGAAACACAAATGAAGATATTTTTAATGAAACCTGAGTGATTTATGTCCCTTTGGTAAAAGTCTCTTATACCAAATCTTTGACATTGTAAAAGCAATCCATATAAAACAATATATAAATAAAATAATTAAATTCTGTTCAAGTATAAAAGCATATAAAGCTATCGTGTCTCTACAGAAGATTTGGATTAAACCTACGTTTTGGCGGAATGGACATTTAATGAAAGGACAGAAATCTGTCAGGTTTGACTAAAAAAAAATCTTGAAGATGGATTAGGAACAAGGGTCAGAGTGAGTAAATGATGACAATTTTCATTTTAGGGTGAAAAAAATACATGCTCCCCGGCACAGTGCTTTAATTAAGAGGACTGGAAACACAAGTAAAGACAAGTGCATTAAGAGGAAGCATTGCAAGAGTGTGAATTGTGTGTTAGAGGAACATCAGCACTAAATCAGGGCATCAGGGAGGACAATATTTCTCACCTTGGCAGCCTAGTGAGGTGACCCACCAAAAATAGAAGAGGGTGACACCACAAATGGAAGGACGGGAGGGTGGAAATGATGGTGATGGAAAAAGAGAAGAAGGGGAGGATGACCATAGAGAAAAGAATAACGAAAACAGATATTTTTGTGAGGAAGATCAGTAAACACAGGCTGACGAAGACTGATGAGAAGAGAAAGATCCAGTGAAACATTTTACCGCAACTCAAATCTGCAGTAGTAAAAACATAATACTCACATGAAAGTTTAAAGAAAACCATAACAACTAGTGTTGTGCCAATAGACAATAGTATCGTGTATCGACGATAGTCAGAGATATTACCTGTGGCTGATGCCTTTGACGATAGTGAGATAATTATTATTATTGTCAGGCTAGTATTATTAACTAATTAATATTATAGCTTATTTGTTCCATCATATTTCTTTTTCTGCATTTTTACAGTGATGTGCATTATAACCAATCACACACGATTCCGTTGAGTTTATGAATGCAGTGGCCAATCAGAGACATTCCGATGAGTCAACATTGAAACTCCGGAGTATTGTTGTTCAGTGCGCACTCGCTGACTGATTTCTTCTCTCATCATAAAGAACAAAGTGCAGATGTATAAGAGATTTATTCATCATAAAGAGTAGATAGCTTCACTGATTATAACGGAAGTGTTTTTTAAAGTGCATAAACTCGCGCAAGACTGAAGTCAGTGATGATGTTCTTTGATAGGGATGAAACGATTACCGGTTTGATGATAAATCATGATAAAATGCCCCACGTTTAGTATTATCTTTTCATATTTTAATTATCATTAAAACCGTATTCGATTACCGCAATTTGAACAACTCAGGATAAATAAATACTATCCAGAATAAAGCAAAGGTACGCACGCAGAGTAGTTTCGCTTTGTGTGAAAACATGGTGGAAATGCTGGGAGGTTTTAAAGGGGTCATATGATGCGATTTCAATTTTTCCTTTCTCTTTGGAGTGTTACAAGCTCTTGGTGCATAAATAAGAAGTTGTAAAGACTAAAGTCCCAAATCCAAAGAGATATTCTTTATAAAAGTTAAGAGTCAACCACGCCGACCTAAAACGGCTCGTTTTAACACGCCCCCACATGTCTACGTCAAGATGTGGGAAGATTTGCATAACGCCGCCCAAATGTTCACGCAAAGAAAGAAGGCGTAACTTTTATTCTC